CACGGCACCTCTTCAACACGAGTGTGTCGTGCTACAAAGCCATGGATACACTGTGGCGAGTGTGTTATGAGGCTGCTTACGCACGCGCATGGCTCCGGCAGTGCCTGGGTTCAAACTCCTACAGCAGCAGTTGCATCCCGGATCTTGATAATATAAATCCGAGAGCGGGGCGGGGCGGGGCAGCGGGGCAGCGTGGCGCGCGTGCGTGCGGCGTCCTTGGCCTTGGCGCTTGCGCGCACGCGTCGTGATGCGGCTTCCTTTTTCGCCACGTAGAGCTCTCCTGCTGCAGCACCTTTTCCCGTCGTTTTTCCCGCTTTTTCGCCCGAAAACGCCCCAAAAACAGCCAAAAACCAACTGTCGGGTTTTGTCGTATTTCGCTGCTGTGCGGTGTGGTGGGTGGGGGCGGGAACCGTTCCCGCTCCGATACCAATGTAGCGGACCCACCAGGTGTGGTGCTCCGCTAGTGACAGAGATGGAGATGGAGGAAGAAGGGGGAGCAAGTTGGCACAACGCAGCTCCCCACGCAAGACTCTAACGCACGTACTCCAAAATGTGCAAGTGATGAATGAGCCTAAAAACAAACAATGGCTGGGGTATACCCCAGCGGACTGACGGGACTGGACTGGACTGGCTGGTACCGACAGAGGTACCGGCCTGGACTGGCCTACCCCGAATACAACACAGGCCTGTGAGAACAGGCCAAGGGGCTGGTCTCACAGGCCAACCCGAGGTCTGCTACAAGGAAACACCGGGCAGGGGTGGGGGGGAACATTAACTCGTACCTTCAACCTCAAACCCCACTTCGCCAACCACAACAAGCTACAAAATCCCCCCCACTGCACTGATGGCGGCATCTTTCCCATGTTGCCGTCGTTGTTGTTGTCCGTGGCATCCATCGCTCCCATGTTGCCGTAGTTGTTGTTGTCCGTGGCATCCATCTCACCCACCTCACCCTTTTCCCCAGTCCCTGCTCACCGTCATTATTATCGTTGTTGTTGTTGTTGTTGTTGTTATTGTTGTCAACATCCTCTCCCATTTCAACCATCTCGTTGTTTTTGCCAACTTTGTTGTTGTTGTTGTCGTTGTTGTCAGCTTTCTCTCCCCTCTCCTCCATGTCATTAGTGTTCTCTCCCCTCTCCTCCATGTCATTAGTGTTCTCTCCCCTCTTCTCCATCACGTTGGTGTCGCCGTCGTCGTCGTCGTTGTTGTTGTTATTGTTGTTGTTGTTGTTGTTGGTGGTGGTGGTGGTGGTGGTGGTGTTGGTGTTGGTGTTGGTGTTGTTGTTATCCTCTTTCACTCCTATCTCACCCAGTTTGCCCATTCGTCGCTCGCCTCCGTCGTTAAAGTTGCTATTATTGTTGTTGTCATTGTTGTTGTCGACCATCGCACCCTTCTCGCTAATCCCGCCCATTCGCCTCTCCTCTGCCGACCCCTGCGCCACCTCCAGTATTGTTGTTGTAGATGTTATTGTTGTTACTATTGTCGTCGCCGCTGCCGCTTCCGCCATTTCCACCGTTGCCAATAGCCCCCACTCCCTTTCCCACTCACTTGCATCATCAGTGGCATATTCCCCCTCCCCATCGCCAACTGCACTCTCATCCCTGACCTCCCATTCACCTGCGTCAGCAGCGACATATTCCCTCTCTCCATTACCAACAGCACTCTCCTCCTCAACCTGGTAGGACAGTGCCATCAAGTTAGCCCACCTTTTTTTTTTCCCCCGTCATCATCAGCGGCATATTCCCTCTCTCCATCGCCCACTGCACTCTCCTCCTCAACGTGGTAGGACAGTGCCATCAAGTTAGCCCACCTTTCTTTCCCCCCCCCCTCATACTCATCACACTCACGCACAGCAACAGCACAGGTCGTGTCTCTTTCATATTCCCAGATCTCACACATAGCGCAGATATTTGTATAATAGTGGAGCACATCGCAATCATCATTTTGCTCACCTTCAGCATCTTCTGTGGGCGAGATGTCATCTTCATTGTCGTCGAGCATATCCTATAGTCGAAATGCTCCATATTGTAGCTCCCCTACCATCTCCATCCCTCGTCGGTCTTCACTGTTGGCGCTGCCCCTGCGCGCGCATCATGGACATTCACGCCCCTACAGCAGATGCCACGTGGCAATCGAAGAGCCACGCGCTACTGTCGGGCGCGCACACAGGCCTAGCAGCCTGGGAGCTTACCTCCCTAAGCGCTAGTCGAGCCGGGGGAACCGGGCCTACCGGTCCGCCGGCGTCGGGGCGCTAGCGCTAGCGCAGCCCGGGTCTGGACGCCAAATTTTCATTCATCCGCATCCAGCCGCACCCGAACCCAGTATCCATCCACCCGTGCCCAGCCGTACCTGTGCCCCAATGTCTGTTGAGTCTGGTCATGCCCCCGAGCTGAAATTTTCTACCTTTTTCCTTTTTTTTTTCTTTTTTTTTTTGAAGAACAGCCAAGCAGAGACTAGGGGCGCTGGTAAGAGCAGACACCGCTAGCATCGCCGGGGAGGCTCCATCTATTGGTGGGGAGCAGCACCTGCTGGACATCGGGTCCAGCGTCCATGAATATTGAACTTCCTCATGTGACCAATCATGCAGTTGTGACAACAGCAAGCTAGCAAGCTACCAAGCTACTGGGCTTGCCTATTCTGAATGAAGTTCGGCAAGTAGAGGTACGCAGTGGCCTGGGCAGCATGCCTATCAAACAGTCATTGGTGAGAGATGGTATGCCCCAGTGTCACAACTGCAGCTAGAAAAAGCAACATGCATTTATAGTGACAGTCATTATGATGCCAGTAAGCTACCGAGTTCACTTACTCGGAAAGAGGTTCTTCCAGCATGACTAACAGAATAATCTGTGTTGCTAACCTACCTTACAGCCAATGGTAAGTAATGGAATGGACCCGTATCTTGACTGTAACTAGAGGAGGCAGCCTGCATTTGTGACACCAACAGGCTATCAGACTCATCTACAAAAGAGAAATTTGGCAGGTAGAACTACAGAACCTTCTGAGCCCGTCGCCCACATGCCAGCCTGTGGTGAGTGATAGTATAAGCAGGCCTCCCGTTCGTTCAGGCAGGATGTTGTTGTTCCCGTGGGTTTTTTTGTTCGACTATTTACACCCCATCATGCTCAGTCTGTACGAACCCATGTCCCGCTTTGTTGCTGCTGTCCAAAAAAAAAACAGTGTCAGCCTTGAGATGCCTTGTAGCTGTTGCAGTCCCATCCTTGTACAGTGAGATCATCTGCTGATGTGTGCTCAAACTGGCTGGCCCAATCCTGTGTTATGAGCGGGGAGGGAGGGGGGTGGGGGGGTATTGGGTCGAGAGGCCAAGGGGAGGGGAGGAAGG